CAATATTTTTAAAACGCAGTTTACGACATTTGAAAGCTTACGAAAAATGCTAATTTTTATGTCTCCTGAGAAATTTTGATAAGATGCACCGTTCTCGCGGTATGGACGATTGAAATTTGTTTAGTATTTTGAGGCGACGAAGGTCGAAAAATTGAATTTGTTAAATGTTCAAACACTAAATTCTTTATAACATTGGTAAAAACTAAGATAGAAAAAACTAAAATGCGTTTTGAACTTAAGGGATGTGACTAGTGATTTCCAGAAGGGGTTAAGAGAAATCCCAAAATTGGGCATATGGCGGAAGGGCAAAATGCACCGCGGTCCTAATTTCATTGTTTGCCTATAACGGCCAAACTATTTGAATTTTTTTAATGCCACTTACAAAGCTAACTCTTAAATGTGAAATCTTATGTGTGTGTGAATTTCACCGACATCGGACCATAATTGGCTAAGATATCAAACAATTAAATAATTTTTTTTCCTTAAAAAAAAAATAATTTTTTTTTCGAAATATTTGAAGTGGCACAAAAATGCCAAAAATGCACCCAATGGCTTAAAACTTTTTTTTTTTGTACTCGATTTTATCTAGAATACGATTACATTACGGAAAATACTGAAAATATATTTTATCTATTTTTTTGACCACTGTTCATTGAGTGACGACCAAAAAACACGGTTTTTGAGAAAAGTTGCCTAAAATTGACAATTTTTAGTTTTTTTGTCTGAAAATTAAACAAATCCAAATTTCATGTCTTCTAAATGTGTATACAAAGTTTAAAGTGTATGTTTCTTCTAAGTTGTAGAATTCTCCCGACAAAAGTCCCATTACACGCGCTTTGCGGGATCCAAAACTCGTGTATACACTACATTACTGTAATTTGATTTCTTTGCGATTTCCAGTTTTAAATTTCTTACATATCTAAATTTATTAGGCTTAAAATTTATTAAATTGTATTTTACTGACTTGTTATAAGACGTTTCTTGAGTTTTGTGCAAAATATAGAATTCCAGATATTAGCGAACAAAAAGCAAGCTTATCACCAAGTTGGAACTTACACTCAGGCTTAGGATTAATTTCCTAACATTTTTAAAGTATACCTTTTTGTGTATTTTTTTATGCTCTTTTCGATGGCGAAGTTAGTTTTTTCAAATATATTTTTTTTGTTAGATGTTTTCGGAAAACCCGGAAAAAATCATATGGGAAAAAAATTTAAAAAAAACTACGCCTCTGGTTTCCTGCGAATTCCCGAAAAATTATGTCAGATTTCGCCGCGGGACTTATTTTATTTGAGAGCCAACAAAAAAAATTCTCTCATGGGCACATATGTCTAACATTTATAATTTCGCCACAAATTCATCGCAAATTTCATGTCCATGGTTCTGATCAAAAAAACGAAAAAACGACTTTTTGGTAAAAGCACTTCTGGCGGCGAGAAATTCGTCATTAAAACTACCTGTGCAATGAATTTCCGAACTATTTTTGCCTCCTCTTTCGAATGGTGCATTTATTTTCACTATCGGAATGATACTTGCCCAGATAATTAGCATTTTTACAATGGAAAATTCCGGAAAACCCGGTTTTTCCTAATTTAAAAAAAAAAATTGAAAAACCTTCATCCTTTTTTTCTTTTTTTTTCGGAAAGATCACATCAAAATACACAAGGTCCTTTTTGTTTCATCCAATTACAAATTAATGTAAGCTCAAAGGGGCTTTTTTTCGTTATTTAATTGGACTATTTAGGTGACTGATGTTATATAATAGGGGAGTAGTCTACTATTAATAACAACTTAAAAAAATTGGTGTTAATTCCAAAAAACCTATACTTCTCAGGATCGCAATGTGCTAGCGATTGATCATAAATACGAAAGAATATTTCAGACTCAGAAAATGCTTTGTTTAAAGGTAAAAAAGTTTTAAGTAATATTTATAAATCTTAGACTGTTTTGTACTCACTATGGCCATCAAAGATATCAGCGCTAAATCATCGCCTAAATTTTCCCTCTTAAATTTTGTTAAAGAGAAATTAATAACTACTAAAAATGTACCAAAATTGTAAATCCAAAATATCATCCTGCTTATAGTTTTCTGAAGTACCGTCCTTATAAGAATTGTAGACAAATCAGCCATCCAGTAAAATGAGTCATCTAAAAATATAAAAACAATAAATTGTAAAAAGGGTGCTTGGATATTACACTATTTTTTTAATACAAACCTTCATAAGTGTATAGTTTTCCGAAAACAATATCTTTTATGCTGAATTTACCCAACATTTTTATATTAGTGGCAGAAAATGAAATCTGTAATAATTTTATTACATTGGTAGTTTAGATAAACATACCTTTATTTCAGATATACCTAAAACTCACTTTATTTTATAGATAAAAAAAAAACGTTAGCATTAGCTGAAACTGGTAATTAATAATAAAGTAATGTATATCGGTCAAAATAGATAGGATCGTAATTAAATACAAGTGAAGCCTTTTAAGTTTATGATAGGTATTTACCAAAATTGACTTTTCCGATTTTCCCAGTAGGTAGTAAATAATTATTTACAAAATTTAAAGATTAATAATTAAATAAATCACTCTTTCGAATTCCTTAAATATAAATTTTTTAAATTATTAAATACTCATATTTTATTTATTTTATAATAATACGAATAGATCTTTTTTAGTTTGAAGGTTAAGGTCACCAGGTGACACTACTGAAACCTGTGGTCCACATTGAACGTCACTTCCATATAGATGGTGGTGTGTATTTTTTAATTTTATTGTATTTTAAATATATATTTAATAAAATAATGGTTAAAATAGGAAAATCGATAAAATGAATCGATTAAAGTAACGGAGCTGAAAGAAGAGCTAAAGAGGGTTGGGTGATTGAAAGTATAAAAAAAGGTAAGGAGTAATTTTATAAGTAAATTGTTGTGCTACCTGTCATATTTTAATTATTTAAAGCACATATCTATATTACCCACTAGATACGATATAGAGAGGCCCACCACAGTCATATGTGTCCATAAGGAACATATTCCAAAATTATATTGAAATATACAGGGTGACCAAAAAAAGTATATATATCAAAGGTATATTTTTTCTTATGGGACACGCTATATTTTTTTATATTTTTAGATACTCTAGACCAAATGAAGGTATATGACTGTTATATTTTCCTATATACCTAAAACTGACCGTTTCTGAGAAATTCTGAAAAATTTAAAAATGCATATTTAAAAACTGTTTACACACTGTAACATGTAACGAGCTGTTCGTAATTAAATAGACTATTTAGCTGAAAGGTTAAAGTTAACTACTACATAAAAGTTTTACTTTATTATTATACAGAGTGGTGAAAAAAATTGCCTCAAAATTTGGACACACATTTTAATAAATCACTTCTTCAAATTGAAGGGAACATCCCGTATTTACTTGGCCTATTTCGACTATATTAGGGTTCTATATACCTATCTCTTCTGCTTTTTACGCAAAAGGCGTTTTAATATTTTACTTACCTAAGAATAATTTTTTTATCTTAAAAATTGAATACTTTGTATTGTAATTGTGATTATTCGATTATTTTCGATTAATTGATTATTTTTGATTAATCGATTATTTTCGATTAATCGATTATTTTCGATTAAACGAGTATTTTCGAATAATCGATTATTTTTTATTTTTATAATCCAATAATATTTTTTGGAAACACCGATTTATAGGTTAATCGGTTTTTAATTAATTGATTATTTTCGATATTTCAATGATAATTAAATAATAATAGATTTTAGAGGAAATACAAAAAAAGAAAATAGATTTATTGAAAAATCGATTTACTGTTTAATCGCCTTTTTAATTAATCGATTATTTTTGATTTTTTAAAGATCGAATTATCAATTTTAAAGGAAATACCAAAAAAAAAATTATTTGAAAATAATCGATAATTCGGTTTATTTTTTAAAAATCGATTTCTCGTAGAATCGGCTTCTAATTAATCGATTATTTTCGAATAATCGATTATTTTTGATATTCAAAGATAAATAATTGATTTTAAAGAAAATACGAAAAAAATGGATGATTTGATAATTAATTATCGATTATTTCAAACAATCGATAATTCGTTTAGGTTTTTAATAATTCTCTTTCAAAGGAGATACGAACAAAAATAGATTCGATAATTTGTTCATTATTTTTTGGAAACACCGATTTATAGGTTAATCGGTTTTTAATTCATCGAATATTTTCGATTTTTTAAAGATAATTGAATAATCGATTTTAAAAGAAATACGAAAAAAATAGATGGGCTGAAAATAATCGATTTTTTGAAAATAATCCATTGATCGAAAATAATCGATTATTTTCAATGATTCAATGATTTCTGTAGATACATGTGACATCCTCTATATTAATTAATTTTCCCAAAGAAAAAAGCTTTATTATACCTTTTTCTGAGGTTACTATACAAAACAGTATATTTTCTCATTTTGACTAACTTTTAATATTATGTAATAGCTGTAGAAAAAATATAATGTTCAACAAGATTTCATTTGCAGTATTCGCCTGCGTATATGCTGCTATTATAATACTCGTAGTCAATGAGTACCATTCCTTGCTCGATTAACAATATTTTATTTCAACATTTTATTGTAGTCTGTAGAAAATAAAAGCTAATGAAATATTCTATAAAAGAACTATTTATTTTCTTTACATAAAATGTCGTTGCATCTGTTTTAACTAAGTGTTATCCGAACTTATTTCACCTACTCGAATACGAGGCGTAAATATAAAAAATGTTGTATCTCCACGGGAAGTGCCTAAAAATCGTCTTTATATACGGAAACATTTCCATGTATTAAATAAAAATTTATGAGGATAGAAAAAAATAATATTTGAACACAAAAAAAGTTTAGGAAATAATTGTTAATTGCCTTGTGTATTTATAATGTAAGAGTAGTATATGTTCTTAACTATAAAAAAGTAATGAACTTATGTAATATTCGACTTCTTCTCTGCGTCCAATTTCAATTATTCATCTTTCCAAAACAAGTTACGAATGAGTAAACCATCCGATATAGCTAAAAAATAAAGAATATTATAATTGTTTAATAAAATGTTATTTAATTTTAAAAATAGTCCGAACTAGTTTAATTTTAAAAGTTAAGCTGCAGTCAAAGAGTTTTTCATGATCTATTGTAATCAATTGAACAGTGTGTTCTACATTAGAGTCTCTATATTGGTATCTCAAACGACGAAAAACTACTAGACTAATCCATTCAATCATAATTAAGCCCTTATTTGCTTTCTCGTGCTTTATATTAGGTAGATAGAGCTGTCGTATTAGAAATAGCGAGACACCTACTAAATTTAGTGAGGATGATTTTTGAAAGCTTCAATAAACCAGGTCGCACAACTACAAATCTTGTTTTACACCGTTGCCGCACTACAAAATAAATGGTGTACTTTATTAAAAATCACCTTCAGCTACAATAATAGCTGCAACCAGAAAAAGACATAAAACTGATAATAATCAGGAATGCAAATATACTGCTTTAGTGTAATTCTAAACGACATTTATACGTTTTAAGGTCTTATGTTAAACAATCCTAACAAGATTCTACCACAATAATTTGGCAACTACATGGATAACACCATTAATTTTTGCAATTCGGTTTTTGTAAATAAAATTGGTCTAGTAGTTGTTCGTTATTGGTAATCTCGCCTATTTAGTATTGTTTTAATGATGGCTTAACTGTTAATTTTACATATTGCTACTTTCCAGAAAGACTGACGCAACTAAAAAATTAAAATTTCTACGTTTTTACGGACATTCAACACGGAATTTCAGAATCTATCACGAAAAAAATCAAGACAACTTAGATAACAAAATGTACCGCTCTTGGCTACTGTCACTACTTTGAATTTTTCCTCCTTTAACACACAAGACACAGTTGTACCGTGGCAGTTGATTTGTTACTTGCTCAGGAGTATCACAAAACAAAAAGTGTTTCTATAATGGTTCACGGAACATCCTCACAGCTTCAGTTACCTCTATTTTCAGGACATAGGTAAGTTGGTATATTTTAAAAATTTCAAGATTGTTAGTCAGTCCAGTACTTAATGTAAATTTACAATAACTTAAGATAATTAAAAAAAAAAAACATCACATTACAAAATAGTTCGCTTTTGTCCGTAAAACTTAAATTTAGGTTTATTTTGTATTTTTTATTGGCCTATTTAGAATTCAGTTGTTTTTTCGATATGTTACCCTCTTCTGTCGGATGAACGATATCCAATTTGCTAGGTTACAAGAGCTCGTTGTTACGTCGTTAGAGAGAACTAAAGAAAAATTTAGCATTATGGCCTACAATGTAACAATAATTAAGGTATTAGGCATTTTCACTGCAGTTTATCTGTACCAGTTCATATGATCTTCAATGTGTAGATTGAATGATATCAAAATTTACTATAAAATTTACGATAAAAAGTTAGCCCATAAAACTTATAAATGTACTAAGTCTCCTGAACATTACAATTATTTCAGTCAACTCAGAGCTCAATGCAAAATGTTATCAAAAGAGTGTTATGCTAGTTATGTAAGCCGTACTGAGAATTCAGTTGTAAAAAATGTTAAAGCGTTCTGGAAATTTGTAAAAAATAAGAGAGAAAATAATTCTTTACCTGACTCGATGACATTAAACGATACAGTGGCTTCCTGCGGTAATGACATTGCCAATCTATTTGCTAGTCACTTTTCTTCTGTATACACGAACCAAACGCTAAATTTAAATGGAAGTGAAATCCAATCTGCAACATGTGTATCTTCTTATTTTATCCAAATTTCCAAGATCTATGTTAAGCTGTCAACACTTGACACTAATAAAGGGTCAGGTCCCGATGGAATTCCACCCATTTTTCTCAAAACATTTAATTTTGCATTATCTAGGCCACTTTTTCATATCTTTAACAAATCACTGAGCACAGGTGAATTTCCTGACTTTTGGAAACTCTCTTATGTTACTCCCATTTACAAATCGGGTAACAAATCTAATGTAATAAATTATCGCCCCATTTCCATCCTAAGCACAATCTCAAAAATCTTTGAAAGTATAATAACTGATTTTCTAACTCACGACTGCTCCAATATCTTAAATTCCCAACAATTTGGTTTTTCGCCAGGCAAATCTGCTGAACTAAGCTTATTAACATATGCTAACTTTCTGTCTGAAGCTTTAGAGAAGGGTCTACAGGTAGATTCTGTATATACAGACTTTTCCAAGGCCTTTGACAAGGTGAACCATGATCTTCTCGTTCATAAGCTAAATTTATATGGTATTGATGGGATTGTCTTACAATGGCTCGGTAGTTATCTAACAAATAGGACTCAACAGGTTCGAGTAAATCATCATTATTCCCAAATTTTCCCAGTTACTTCGGGTGTTCCTCAAGGGTCTCACTTAGGACCGCTACTATTCAACCTGTTTATTAATGACATCATAACTTGCTTTCCTAACACTAAAGCCCTATTGTTTGCAGATGACTTGAAATGCTTCAAGATCATTCATGACTATGCCGACACTCAGATTTTGCAGTTGGATTTAAATAAACTAGAAAGTTGGTGCTCTAGTAATGGCATGGATCTAAATACTAACAAATGTCACATTATCCGATTTTGTCGCAGCCATAATTTAATAACTTATAATTATAGTTTATTTCAACATGTTTTGGACCCTGTCGATCAAATCAAGGATCTAGGGATCACCTTTGACTCTTCCATGAGCTTTAATGGTCATATCTCTGCTACAGTTCAAAAATCAATGAAAATGCTGGGCTTTGTAAAGAGGACAACTCAAGACTTCACTAATATAAACACAATTAAAATGCTATACTTCTCTTTAGTTAGGACACAACTTGATTATTGCTCCTCAGTCTGGTTCCCACACTACTTAATTCATAAAAGTAAACTGGATGGAGTTCAAAATAATTTTCTTAGATACATAGCATTCAAGTTTAACATTTATTACAATTATGCGGAATTGCAACAATATTTAAACATACCTTCTCTGGAAGTTCGTAGGAAACGAAAAGATCTTACCATACTGTCCAATATTATCAATGGCAGGTGTAATTGCCCCGACCTCCTTTCCAGAATTAATCTTTTTGTGCCGTCACGTACTACTAGACAAATTCAAACATTCCATGTACCTTATTACCGTTACAATTATGCGTTTAATACTTTTATTCCTAGAACACTTAGACTAGCTAACTCTCTTCATGATATTCGACTTTTTAACAGTTCTGTTCAAGGATTTAAGAACCACTTACTTACATTGAATATTTGAACGTCTCAAGCAATTCCATAAATTTCATTTAACACATTATAATTTATTTGCTGTTCTGTACATTAATGTCCACTGTTTTATCTAACCATTTTATTCTATATTTTACTTAATTTTTATGATATCACTATTCTATTTTATTGTATTTTTTATTTTATATTGTATTTTATTTTATGTAAACTGAATTGGGCTTTGCCCGTAAATAAATAAATAAATAAATAAATAAATAAATAAATAAATAAATAAATAAATAAATAAATAAATAAATAAATAAATAAATAAATAAATAAATAAATAAATAAATAAATAAATAAATAAATAAATAAATAAATAAATAAATAAATAAATAAATAAATAAATAAATAAATAAATAAATAAATAAATAAATAAATAAATAAATAAATAAATAAATAAATAAATAAATAAATAAATAAATAAATAAATAAATAAATAAATAAATAAATAAATAAATAAATAAATAAATAAATAAATAAATAAATAAATAAATAAATAAATAAATAAATAAATAAATAAATAAATAAATAAATAAATAAATAAATAAATAAATAAATAAATAAATAAATAAATAAATAAATAAATAAATAAATAAATAAATAAATAAATAAATAAATAAATAAATAAATAAATAAATAAATAAATAAATAAATAAATAAATAAATAAATAAATAAATAAATAAATAAATAAATAAATAAATAAATAAATAAATAAATAAATAAATAAATAAATAAATAAATAAATAAATAAATAAATAAATAAATAAATAAATAAATAAATAAATAAATAAATAAATAAATAAATAAATAAATAAATAAATAAATAAATAAATAAATAAATAAATAAATAAATAAATAAATAAATAAATAAATAAATAAATAAATAAATAAATAAATAAATAAATAAATAAATAAATAAATAAATAAATAAATAAATAAATAAATAAATAAATAAATAAATAAATAAATAAATAAATAAATAAATAAATAAATAAATAAATAAATAAATAAATAAATAAATAAATAAATAAATAAATAAATAAATAAATAAATAAATAAATAAATAAATAAATAAATAAATAAATAAATAAATAAATAAATAAATAAATAAATAAATAAATAAATAAATAAATAAATAAATAAATAAATAAATAAATAAATAAATAAATAAATAAATAAATAAATAAATAAATAAATAAATAAATAAATAAATAAATAAATAAATAAATAAATAAATAAATAAATAAATAAATAAATAAATAAATAAATAAATAAATAAATAAATAAATAAATAAATAAATAAATAAATAAATAAATAAATAAATAAATAAATAAATAAATAAATAAATAAATAAATAAATAAATAAATAAATAAATAAATAAATAAATAAATAAATAAATAAATAAATAAATAAATAAATAAATAAATAAATAAATAAATAAATAAATAAATAAATAAATAAATAAATAAATAAATAAATAAATAAATAAATAAATAAATAAATAAATAAATAAATAAATAAATAAATAAATAAATAAATAAATAAATAAATAAATAAATAAATAAATAAATAAATAAATAAATAAATAAATAAATAAATAAATAAATAAATAAATAAATAAATAAATAAATAAATAAATAAATAAATAAATAAATAAATAAATAAATAAATAAATAAATAAATAAATAAATAAATAAATAAATAAATAAATAAATAAATAAATAAATAAATAAATAAATAAATAAATAAATAAATAAATAAATAAATAAATAAATAAATAAATAAATAAATAAATAAATAAATAAATAAATAAATAAATAAATAAATAAATAAATAAATAAATAAATAAATAAATAAATAAATAAATAAATAAATAAATAAATAAATAAATAAATAAATAAATAAATAAATAAATAAATAAATAAATAAATAAATAAATAAATAAATAAATAAATAAATAAATAAATAAATAAATAAATAAATAAATAAATAAATAAATAAATAAATAAATAAATAAATAAATAAATAAATAAATAAATAAATAAATAAATAAATAAATAAATAAATAAATAAATAAATAAATAAATAAATAAATAAATAAATAAATAAATAAATAAATAAATAAATAAATAAATAAATAAATAAATAAATAAATAAATAAATAAATAAATAAATAAATAAATAAATAAATAAGAATAATAAATCCACACCTCTGTATTATACAAATGTACTTACCGATACCATCATTCTCCGATTTATCGTAATCAACCCATAACAACTTAAACACAATGGTTTTTGAGTTATGAAATAAAACATCCATAATAGCTGCCGATTCTCTTTATTCCACTGAAACCATCTAAATTGTTTAGCTTGTAAGTACAATTGCTCACACTAAAATAAAAATAAATTGATAATCTTGACTATAAACAATAATGCTTCTTTTACCTCTATAAGAATTTGTTCTCCAGTTTCGGTTATTAATGTAAATATAAATATGGCTACTCCAAAGTATACAACAAAGGGTAAAATATTTTTATCTGAGTCTACAGTCTAAAAAAATAATAATTTGTTTGAATAAGATTTTGGGTGATCGAATTTGTAGAGCTTAAGAGAAGCCTGGTCTCAAAAGAGGTACTTCAAATGGTGAAATTCAACATAAACTTTCAACCTTTGAAAGTTGTTTTGTCTAGATTATTTACCACAGCTCAAGAACTACCTCTCTTGTGTAAAATAAGTTGCATCACATATTTTTTGTTACTTGAAACGTTGAATATAGTCTAAATAGGCACCTACTACGATTGAGACCAACGTAGTTCCCATTTCAACAACTCCACTAAGGGTAATAGATAGAAAACCCATTTTATATATTTCATTGAAATTATCCAGAGACCTACAAAAGGCTCTGTTAAAAAATACTGTAATCTCTTATAGTTAATTTTATTAAAAAGTTATAAATATTTCAATAAGTACAATAGTGTACACATAACGTCGCACCACTTTTGTTCTAATTTTGTTACTTCTATACCTTTAAAAATATTGTTTTTTTCTTCTCCAAACGTAAATAACAGAAATATTCCATAAAATATAAAAATGACCACCTATAAAGTATCCCCCCAGATGTTCCGACTCGGCCCAAAATCTAATCAGCTCATTGGACGCTAAAACAAAGCTTAAGTTTAAAATTTGGTGTTTTTCGTTGTATCGGTTCATGAGTTATACAGACACACAGACACACACGCACACACACACGCACACCCACACACACACACACACACACACACACACACACACACACACACACACACACACACACACACACACACACACACACACGCGCGCACACACACACACACACACACACACACACACACACACACACACATCATCGCAAAAATAGTCAAAACGGATTCAGGGGACCTCAAAACGTAAAAATCCGTCGAAAACTCGAGGTCAAAAAAAATCATGATTCCTCTACTTTCCTTATATCTGTATACAGATAGGAAAGTAAAAATGAATCATTTTAGGTTAACTGAGACTCTGCTGTAGAATCCGTATATAATGGATAGCGGAGTCTCAATAAACCTGAAAACTAGCAAGGCTGGAGGCCCAGTCACACTCTATAGATATAGCGCTAGATATAGTGTATATTAGGAACATATCTTATAGTACCTTAATATACAAAGAACCACAGTTTCATTAAAAAATATTTATTTATTTTTGTGTACCTATTACAAACTTGTATACTGCCCCATTTAGTATCTTTAAACCTGAATATATATTTTTTTTTATTTGAAATTTTGGGAAACTAAACCAAGGAATGTACACTACCTTTTAAATTATATTAGGTGACGTAATCATTAAAAATGGCAGACGGGAGCCGTTATGGCAAGTGATATATTATTTGAAACCCTTTCCAATGATATCAATATAACTAAAATATTTTTTCTTTTTACTCATAATGAATTCTTTGTTTTAAATGTTCAATGCTATCAACTGGTGTACCACAAATATTTAACCTTTGGCACTGTATTATTCTCGTTTAAAATCAAAGATTTTTATGAATTCATATCTCATGACGGATCAAAAAATAAATAGGAGGTGGAGGGACTTTAGATCCGCATTGTATAATCGAGAGCAGAGGCTATGTGAACCTGAAAATTAACACAGCTGGAGGCCTAGTCGTACCGTATACATCTTCAAAAATCTAAACGCGGACCATATAAGCGAAATCCATTAGGGACGAACTTCAGTTGGAGTGAGGTGGAAGTCGTACATACCGTGAGTCAGGCCATTGAATAGGTAGTGCGCTGCACAGCTCATATCGCAATGAGTCTCAAGGATGTAAGCATACTTATATTTATTTAAATCTCTATATTCCACACGAAAAGTTCGAAATGGTATATTTTAATTTTGGATGCATGAAAATGAATAATCCACAATACGACACTTCAGTGGAAAGTCAATTTTAATGATTTATAGGACAACGTAACAAAACTTAATTCGAAGGAACATGAACTTAAATAGATTGTTGCCATTAAGGTTAAGAATAAATAAATGTAATGAAAATCCCAATAAACCAAATTAACAAAATTATGCTGCACATTAAATTACTATTATAATAAGCTTTCAAATGAGCTGTCACACTTAACAATACGTACCACTTTTTTATCATGCTAAAGGGCGCTAAAATCAAAAGTAACACTATAAACAGTCACATTTCTAAAAATTATTCATTAAATTACATTTGCGTTGATGTGTAATACTTAGTACGTTTTCTATTTAAATTGTATTGGTTAGTAGTGGGAAGGAGGAGAGGGGAATGTTGTGTGTCAGTTTAGGATGTGATAAAAATGTGCCAGCCTTAGAATAAAAATCGACCTAATTTAAACAATTCTTTGTATTAATTTGAAGCAAGTGGTGATACAATTGAAATCAGCATAATAAAAGGAAGCTTAAAAATTTGTATGTTATGTTGGGAATGGGGTGCTAAAACACTACGACCTAAAATATTTATTGTACCCCTTTTGTCGCTAATGCAGCAAGGAAATGTCGCAATGCCTACAACGATCCTTCCAATCATATCTTCCTTGAGTGGCTTCAAGTTAGGTAAATATCACTCTTCTATTTAATATGCTCTTAGGTATAGTGTCCTTGGATTTTGGAGTGCTACACATTGTCAGAATGTGAATGGAGGTTTTGTCTTCCTCTTCACAGAATCTGCTCACTATATTCTACTACTCTTAGTTTACTTAAGGTGTCCTTTTAGTGGGCAATGCCCAGTAAGGATCCCTGATACAATACGTAACTTGTTCTTGTAAAATTGGTAAAAATATAGGGTGTTCTATTTGACGTCATTACAAGATGATTACAAGATATATTGAATTATGAGAAAATAAACTAAATTAAAATAAAAAGTTTACTTATTTTATTTTACGTCTTGGTCATATATCACATTTGAGTTGGAATTTTCTTTTCATTTACTTTTATAATAATGCCTAACTATACGTACTAATCAAGGTGCTAACCTTATTATTTAAATAATATCAACCAAAAAATTATTAAACATTTTCTAAAACAAAAATGTTTATTGTGGCATTTTATTTTCTACGGCGCTCTGTAGTACTTGTCGCGTTCAAGATCGAAATTGATACATTTTAATTTTTAAAATGACTCGAGTCGAAAGACAAAATCAGCGAGCCTCCTAGTACGTATATATAATCAACTGCAACGTTGCCAAACCAAAAGCGCGCAGCGAATAGCTTAAGGCGCCCAGTTGACATGTAACATTAAACATCTTATACACAGCGAAATGTATATTAGCAGCGCACCAAGCGGCGAACGCCTGAACTAATATTTTATACAGGATCAAAAAACGGCTCAAATGGGCGTCCTCGAGATTTTTGTGTTAATGGGTGTTTTAGGGTGTCTACATCATCTGGAACAATTTTCAATGGGTTGTCACTGGGGATCCGTATATCGGAAGCCCAGTAACAGCGGAGTCTCAGTGAACCTGAAATTTAACATGGGGGGAGGCTCAGTAATACTTTGTAGATATATATATATATATATATATATATATATATATATATATATATATATATATATATATATATATATATTGTTGATAACCAAAAGAGCCCTAATATTGAAATGTATGCTTGGACAAAAAAATTAACTCTGTTACGTCAAGCATGTCTTTGAAAAACAATTAAGGTAAAAAAGTGTCCCGAGGTGTAACCCTTTCCCTATTACTTAAGTGGTTTTTAACGAACGTTTCTTTTACTATGTTATTTTTGTATAACTACCATCCTAAACCTTTATCTATCGATACTATGGACTAAATATTATTTAAATATTAAAAAACCATTAACTTCTATGGATTTTCAAATTAATATATTTTTTACTCACATTTTAATTCGAATATACTGAGCCAAAAAATATTTCATTTCATTTTTGATATGTTTCTGATATTTATTTGAATTCCAATATTCAATTTCATCATCAAAGTCTTTTTCCAAACCTACCATGATTTCAATACTTTCTCTTAATATTCTTAATAGATACTTGAAATGTAAATTGAAATAAAGAGAAAGCAACACAAATGCTCCTTCAAAAAGTAAACTGTGAGGCATCATAATTCCGTATAATAAAATATTGATCCCCAATAATCCTTTTGGTCTATTCAAGGTGAGACCTTTAACCACGAGGACTAATATATTTGTATCATCATTCATGAAACAAACGTTTAAAAAATAGGCAACGAAACTAAATACAATCACAATTGTTACCGATAGTTTCCATATATGACTTATTCTATTCGTTTCTTTTTTAAAAGAATCATTAGGCGGTCGACCATAAACTTTAGTAAGTTTGCCTAGATTCTGAAAACTTTCATAGAACACACCAAATTTGCTCATATAATTACCATAACACAACTGGAACTGCAAAAAATATAAAAATTATAAAACTAGTGTTTTGTTAAAATATAGGTTGCTTACTGAAACCATTTGTGATGTAGTATACATGATGTCACTTATAGTGCCTGTGTTGAATGGATATATAAGTAAATAAACTACAATCGCAAATAAAAGAACATTATACATCCAAAATATTGTTCTTGATATTATTTCCTGGTGAAATGTTCTAAAAAGTAGTGTACTCCAATCTGCCATCCAAAAAAACGGATCATCTAAAAGAATTAAATCAATCTGCTACAGTGATACAATTATTATTACCATTTTATTTTTCCCATATATTTAATTTGTGAAAAATAAAGAATAACTAAATTATGGTTTGGAAAAGAAAAGACCACCTCTTATCCTCTTCGTTAGTGAGGATGTAGGATTTTTTCATTCAGCCTAATCAAAAGACTCTGTACCAATATAAAGAAAAATTACTACGGAAGAGCTGACTACGGCTCTCTACCATTAGTCACCCATATTATGCTCAAATACATGTTGGATTTATGACGTCGTAAATATATATGTGGGTTCCTGGCAAAGAAACAACGACGCTTTATCTTTAATACAAGACGAATGTACTGGAAACTGATAATATCAAAACTTTAAAAAACATGAAAGAGGACGCTTAAATACTTTCAAAGCCCCATCGGTCATAAATAGTAAATAATATATAAGGAATTAATTAACAGCATTAATTCAACTTTTGAAACATGAAAGTGTAGTGAAAGACGAGTCAATATCTACCTGTAAGTTACCTTATTATGATAAAAGTAACAATCTAAGGATAGCTGGGCTGTTCTAAAAAGATATTATCTTTGTTCCAGTTATAATGTGCACTCCAAGGACTATTCATATCTATATCCATATCCAGAAAGTTATAAACTTATAGAAATAGAAATACCCAATCTAATTCTAGGATGACATGCAAATGTCCCCTTTTGTGCAGACAAGACATTCGAGTCCATTTTTGAAAATTAATTAGCTAATAATATTAACGTTATCAATGAAAGAAACAACTATTAAAGAACAAGTGGTATATATTGTCCTTTCTCTACTCCATTTATAAACGATTGTATATAAAATGAGCAAGCGTCGAGGGAGCCAATTGCAGGACATTGATTGTGTGCTACAATGAGTAAAAGACTTCTTCTAATCGAGTGACTCCGTTATCCCCTACACTAGAAAAGTTTTAGCCCTGTGGTCATTAAAACAAAAGAAGCATTAAAAGGAGACCACAAAAGCTAAAAAAAAACATTAAAAGGAGACTACAAAAGCAAAAAAATTTTAACATTACCCTACGAGAAGAAGCTGCATTCAAAAGCAGAAGGACATTAAAAAATGTACCTGGTGTTTTTCTAAGTTGGTGGTACTGGATATTGTTATGCAACACCCTGCAGCGTGCTGCGGTCGTCATAAGTGAAGGCATAAGTAAAAGAAAAAGAGGGAATATTTGAGAAATGCCATGTCAAGAAAAATCTGGACAGTTCGAGAAGGTTCGAGAAGATAAAAGCAAGCTAAATAAATTTTATTTCAGAACCCTAGGAACCTATGCTCACCTTATCCAAGAGGCTCTGAGGACGGTGAAGGCCGAAACACCAAGCGATAACAATTCTTTGGAGAAGTACCCGAACACTATCCAAAGCACAATAAACAATGCCTATAAGAAATCCTGCCCCCTGTGGTTGGTCCAACACGATCAGATGACTACTGCATTGTGGTATTAAGAGTTGAATTACCTCAAGAAGATGGCTAGAAAATCTTTTAACAAAGCAAGAACCACAAAACTCAAAGAGGGCTGGCATACTTACAAATCTCTCCTCAGAGAATACAAAAAAATTATTAGACAAAAACAGAGAGATCCATGGAGATCCTACTGCGAAGAAATCGAAGATTTCCAGCAGGCAGCGAGGCTTCAAAAAGCTCTCTCAAAAGATCCACACTGCAGTATGGTGCGCTAATTAAAGAGGATGGCATGAAAACTGCAAACCTCGAAGATAACATCAAACTTCTGCTGTAAACACACTTTCCTAACAGTCATCACATACGTGATCTACAGGGCAGAGGAAGAATACAATCAATCTGTCTACGATTAACAAACTGCCCAACAAATTGTAGACGATGTCAAAAAAAAGGTGGGCAATTTACAAGAGGAAATAATCTAATATTAAAAACCCTATAATTTTCCAGGATATATATTTTTATTATTGATAAATTCCACAAAAATGGAGATATGTTAGATTAGCTTTCTTCTTAAGAATAGCAGAAATGTAGGAGGTATACCACAAGTTATTTTCTTTGGCTTTATCAAGTCATACAACCTGGCAGACATAATTCGGTAACACAAAGTGGGATAGAAAACTATATACGGATGGTTTTCGAAACTACAAAAGCTTGACAGCCTGTCAATTACTAGTGCTATGCAGATGTGCCTCACTCCTCACTTCTTTCTTTGCTCCTATTTATGCAAAGGCATCAACCCGAAATCTTAATAAAGTGTTGTAGTTAAAATGTGCCAAACCACAAGATTTAGTATAATTATCAACTTAATCCAGTCTTTAACTGTATAAAATGATTAGCAGGAGTCGATAAATCTGGGATGGAAGAGGACCATATTTTGATATGGGTTTATTTGTGTCGTACATGTAGGGATAAAAAAATTAGTACTAGCAAAACTCAATGAAAGATGCGAGCGGAATGCAACTATATATACATATTGTAGTATAAAACTACTGAAGAAGAACATACAGTACGTTAACCAATACATCAGGCAAAATAAAGATGAGACGCTTAACTATCTGAATAAAGACTTTAATTGTTTTAACCACGCCCTCTTGATGGCATAGATGGGATAATGCGATCCGCAGTCAGCTACGTTTTATCCTGTTTCTCTCGCTTCAGTAGCATTGTGTTTCTATACCGTTCTCTAGTAGTCAGGATTGCAAAATTAACGTATTGTATACTATTATCAATTCTAATAGGTCTCAATTATTTTAAATATGAGTCTAGGGATATTTTCGACTACAAGCAATCCAGCAATTTCTCACGCAACTAGCTTAAAGTATCACGGTTACTTAGTTGACGGTACCAGAGTATGAGGACATAATCGGTAATAAAACGCCCAAAGAATGTGTAAGGCATTATTTATAGCATCAAAGCCCTATAATCTGATACCTTCACTGCTTACCGGATATTGCACTCTAAGATAGTATCTTAACAAGTGGATAGGTCCCCTACTATGATTGGTCGTTTCTGATCTGATGCAGAAGAAACAATGCTCGAACACATCCTCTCATTATCGACTAACTCGAGGGCTAACGTATCTAGAACACCTGTCAATGATGACTGGAGATTGGAACGACAGATTCCAGAAAAAATTGTGGAAAAACTAAGATCTCAGTATATTCAGTCCAATCATAATATATTTAGTAAATACATTTTAATATATACATTAAACTAACGTAGACTTACCCTCGTAGGTGTGAAGTTTTCCAAAAATTATATTTTTGATACTGAAAGTTTTTTTCATGTTTTTGTTTGATTTGAATCCAAGAGCTCCTTCTAGGTAGATGTTTTAAATCAGAATACTAGTAACAAAAAATTATTCATAATCTGTGATATTTATACCTCAAAAGAAAAACAATACTACAGCAAACAAATATTTGATTATGTCTAGACAGAATCTGCGCCTAGTCATAGGTATTCTGACAGTACGGAAGCAAATCCATATCATGATGCTGTCAGAATCAGCACCCTGCAGGGAATGCGAACAATAAGATGAAACCATCGAGCCTATCCTCTACGATTGTTCGACGCTCTTATTTAAAAGAAAATTTGTGATCGGCGAGTATCGGCTAACACCGGCCGATATAAGAGAAGCACCTCTTGGCGACGTCAATTACAATAAATTTGTAGGGTGGCTCACGAGCTAGGAGCTGCTTATTATCTTAGGAGGATGCACAATGGGTCTATTGAGGCCTATGTGCTGTGGGGTATCCCGCCCTCTACATGGTAGAGATACAGATACAAGGTAACACCCTTTATGGGACCTGAGCCGTTCTGCTGAATCAGCATTAAGATAATATTAGGAGCGATTATAAAAGAATTAAGCAGTAGAAGAACCGATAACAATCTTTCGGGGCCAAGACAGGCAAAGATACTTCTGGGTGAATATAACCAGAAAAGTTCAGAATCCTGCATATGCCTAAGTAAAAACAGGCTACGTATTGTAACGGGGATATTTACTGGGCATTGCAGACTAAAAGGACACTTAGTAAACTAAGAGTAGTAGAAGATAGTGAGTGCAGATTATGTGAGGAGGAGGAGGAGGACGATACCTCCATTCACATTCCGAATAAATGTGTATCAGAATCCAAGGGCACTAAGCCCAGGAGTATGTCCTATAGAAGAGGAAGATTTACCTAACTTGAAGCCACTTCAAATCCTACACTTCCTTGAGAAGATAGGATTAGAAGGATTGTTATAGGCATCGAGACATTTCCTTGCCGCACTAGCGACAGGAGGGAACACAACAGATCTTTTGCAGTTAATATTGACAAATTTGGTTGTTAATTGCCCCCATTAATAGCCTTTATTCTATTAATAACCATTTATCTTTGACTATACTGCATTATTGTGAGTAAATTGACAAAACAAACATTGAAATTTGTACGAAATTTGAAGCTTGATTTTTCATTTTAATAGAGATTCGGTCACTGAAAAAATCTTGTAACGAACTCTTATATTAAAAGGCGAATAATACGCTAGATCGTTATATAACTAATAAATTTCTTTATACGGAGTGGTCCAAAAGTCTGGAAACGGCTAATTATCTCGTAAATTGCTAATCCTAATTGTACAAAATTTGGGGTACACCTATTTTGGGATACGGAGATTCGAGATTTGATATTTGCAATGTTGCCAGATTTGCGGTTTCTCTTATATTATTAGTCACTTTGGTTTTTCAAATTCATCACCCTGTATATTCAGTCATTATTGGAATCTCCTATTCAATACGAGTTCATCCATATGTAACACTTATGATTTTATGTGGTCTGGAAGGTCTTAAATAAATAAAACAATCATGAAGAAATGTGGTAAACGCATTCTACCATCGATTAAGGTACTGTCAACTCACAAATGGATCACATTTTGAACACTTGATAAAGTAACCATTGTGTTAAAAATTTTATAATCTTTCAATTATTACGTTTTAATGTAGTTGAAAATAGTTTGTATTAAAAAATTTATTGAGATAATTAGGCGTTGCCAGACTTATTTTGTTTATTTAAGACCTTCCAGACTACATAAAATCTTAAGTATTACATATGGTTGAACTGTATTGAATAGGAGATTCTAATAATAACTGAATATACAGGGTGATCAATTTAAAAAACCAAAGTGACTAATAATTTAAGAGAAACGGCAAATCTGGTAACATTGCAAATATCAAATCTGGAATCATCGTATCCCAAAATAGGTATACCCCAAATTTTGTACAATTAGGACTAGCAATTTACGAGATAGTTGGCCGTTTCCAGACTTTTGGGCCACTCTGTATACCCCATTGTGTATTTTAAGATTAAATAAAATTACCCAGTGTGCAAAAACTCCTAATTAATTAGGCTAAAAATAATTTCAGCATTGGACATAAATCCGGCATGGCATTGTTAAATGACGCAGCATCGTCCACAAATATCTTAATGCGCATGCTCAGTAGTGCCGCAACGAGCTGCTTTTTGGCAATATACTGGAGGTCATGAACTACTTTAGAAACAATTTTTGTGGATCACTCTTTATAACAATCATACAATGATAGCATAATCAACAAAAATTGAAGATGTGGCAAAGAATTTCTCTTTCAATAAATGTGATGGCAAAGTAATTTGCAGCGGTAATAGGATTTGTATTGGAATGTGTCGTAAAACGTCATTTTTTGGATAGATAACATAATCGAAAAGAAGTACTTTTAATTATACTACAAATGAACTGCTATAAAGTACTTTTACGGCTAAGCCCCAAAAGTAAAGCACCTTTGCCATCTAAACATTTCGTTTTATTTTCAGATTACCTTTTAATACTGCTAGCGATACTTTTTGCTATTGTAAAATAGTCCTATAATCCACATGTACATCAAATTCGAATAAAAACATTTTTAATTAATAAGAGAAAATAAATAAACTATAAATCGATTTGACATAAGTACACTGACATGACAACAATTTTTATAAAGAATATTCTTATCGATCACAGCCACCTCAGTTATAAGAAAAAGTGGAAATAATATTTCGAATTTATTTTATAAATTTTTTTAATATCTATAAGCACATTCTAATAAAAAATAATGTATGAGACTACAACGAAAAGTTTATTTTCCCACTCCTGGTAGTCGTCCGAAGAACTCAACTTTTCGTTCTTATAACATAAACTACTATTCTGTTCTAATTAAACAATCGATTATTTTCGATTTTTAAGGAATAATCGATTTTAAAGGAAATACGAAAAAAAAAATAGATTGTTTAAAAATAATAGATTGATAGAAAATAATCGATTATATTCAATGATCGATAATTAATTTCGATAATCACTCACCCCTACTGACCGAATGACCTTTACAGGTTAAAATTTTAATATGTTATCTAGTTTCAGAAATATGCATTTCTAGAGTTTCATGTTATAAATATTCTAAATTAATATTCTTAAAGAAAGAAGCTTTAATATACCCATTTCTGAGGTTATAATACAAAAAGCATTTTCTCAATCAAAAAATCAGAAATGGTATATAAAATAATCTACCTCAGATTTAAGAATTCTAATCGGTAGGCAACACTTTATACACTTAACTTTAGATAAGTATGTTTTCTGTCCGAAAAACGACGTTTTTTGACACGTTCGAATAAAAACGACGTTTTATGACACATTCGAAAAAAAACTCAATCATACCCTTAAAATGCTATAAATAAAAGAATATACTTACATACGAATGTTTTTTATTAGCAGGAATACAATATATTTTATATTGGCTTTGAAAGGAGAAAAAAATTAATTTAAATATTACTTGTTATGTGCCTTTTCAAAAGGGACTCTGGTGGATTCGGTATTCACCGAATGTAGTGTATGAATGTATTGTATCTACATGTCACGTATTTTATCTTAACGTTTATTGTAGTGAATAGATCGTATAAAGATCGATACAATTAAAATTATAAGTAATATAGGAAATAAATAATGAAAATCTATATAGTTTAAAGAATAGAACAGGTATAGAAAAATATAAATTGCCCTCATTACTATGTACAATTGAATTATTGTACATTTCTTGTAGGAAAATGTTCCTCTTTTCCGACCTTTCTTTCACTGGAATTATAACTTAATTATGTCGATTATATGGCAATTTTTATCGACAATAGTATCAATTACGATTTGGTGTATGAAATATCAGTGGCGTGTGCGTCTTTCGATACATATTTTCTAACTTTAATTACATAGTCAATATAATATATTTTTTACCTGCGGGTGATAACAGTGAACTGCAGGACGGTGAAAATGTATGGTCTGGTGTTACCCAAAATCGCTACCAAAATTCGCAGCCCAAAATCGCTACGTACCTTCATGAATTCCCGGTTTTATCGGTATTTAATTTATTAGACAAAATATTTGATTTTTTAAATCAAAGGGTAATAATCTAGTAAAGGACGAAAACAAAACTCAATTAATTTAACATATCTATATATTTTAATATCAAAAAAGTCATAGGTATTGTAGAGCGCCGAAATGTGCTAATCTCAGAAAATTCATATTTGAAGAAGGTTAACAAATCAAACGATGATTAAACGTTGAAAATTTATTAACCAACAAACTTATACAACTTGAAAAGAGAATCTTCAAAGGGTATAATATCAAAAATACCCGTAGATTAAAAAAAAATAGGTAAACCGTGAACAATATGTGATCCATACAACCCTGACCGAGGGGAAATCCACTATGGTCAAAACTTACTTGTATTTCTAAAATCATCTCAAAAAAAATTACGATTTCGATGATTTCGTTAAGTATTTACCTTAATTTTACATTAAATTATTTTTTTTTACCATTTTCTTGTTTTTTGATCCACAAGCTGCTGCATTAACGTTTTCGAGCTTCAAATTGATTTCGATGTGATTTGGAAATGATTGTCATTGATTATTTCGAAGTTTTCAAAAAAATTTGCAGTGATTTTGAGTGAAAACGTACAACTAGTTCGGGAATTGTTTATCCATAGATATAGGATGTTTACCCTTTACCCCTCACAATTTATGGGCCACTGCCCCTAACAATCACACCGGTTACTTCAGGTTCATTACTCTATTGTTCGCCCCACTCACCGCAGTTTCTACATAATCGTTTCTGGAAAACTCTGAATGCAACTCTTATGAGCTTGACAATACTCTTGGGATTAGACTATCGTTGACCCATTATTTTTGTCCAATGGACAATAATTTTTAGAACAAGTAAACTTCATCAAAACTATAATAATTCCCCGTTGGGTTTTGTCAAACTCAAATTACATAAACATTAAAATTCATGGTTTTAGTGACGCAAGTCAGTCTGCTTATGGCTGTTATATAAATTTTCTGGCATATTATCCCAATCACATTTTATGCAATCTCATTGTATCAAAATCTATAAAATATAAAATATATTATCTCCATTTCTAAAGTTAAACCTCACGTCCATACTCTTAACTGTTCTAGATTCTCAGATCATTAAAATCAATTAATTTATGGTCTGACTCACAAATAGCTCTATTATAGACACAAGAGCACCCTTCAAAATGGAATACATACGTAAGTAACCGTGTTTCTCAAATTCAAATTATCGTTTCTAAAGCCACAAGGCGATATATGGAATCTACATTAAATTATTAGATTTTGGGTATACGGGACCAACATTCTTAAAAAAAATCCCTTTCTCAATTTAAATTCTTACAAAAAATCTCAGAAGTACCTGAAGCTAAACATCAAACTCTTGTTCCAAATATTTCAGTCAACTACGTCGAAAAGTTACAGATTATTGGTACAAGTTTTTCATAAAATTTTCAAATTTTAATAAGCTACATCGCAAATGGCAGTAGCAACTTTCGTAGATATTGAGGGAGCTTTTAGTAATGCCCAAACAAGATCTATAATTAATGCCCTAACAATGAAAGGGGTACCAGTCGTCCTATGTCAGCCTAGAAGAAAGGGTAATAACATCATATCAAGGCGAAGCTACACTGACAGCTAAAGCAGGCAGGAGCTGCCCCCAGGGAGGAGTACTATCACCCCCTCACTGGTCAATCCTAGCGGACAAACTCATAAAAAGGCTAACATCTGCAGATTTCTACTGCCTAGGGTATGCCGATGACCTGGCGATCGTCGTAAGAGACAAGTTCGCAGGTACAATATCAGATCGCACACAAACCGCTCTAGACATTGTTGACAAGTGGTGCAGAAAGGAGGAATTAACCCTAAACCCTTAAAAAACCACAACAGTAAATTAAAAAAAAAAAAGAAAAGTACCAACAGGACTAAAGTCACCAGTACTGAAAGGAGTGAAGATTCCATTTGCTCAAGAGGCCAAATACTTGGAAGTCATCTTTGATCACAGATTAACATGGAATCGATACTTGCAAAAAGTCACCCAAAAGAGCACAACATTCTTTAACTTTGTCGAAGGTTATGTGGAAAAAATTGGGGACTACAACCGAAAATGTCCCTATGGTTATATACCAGAGTCATAAGGCCGATGATAACCTACGGGTCGGTGGTATGGTAGCCAAAGACTCGGCAAGCTAGAGCCATTCGACCTCTCAATGGTATTCAAAGGCAAGCATGCCTGAGTACCACGGGAGCTATGAGAATGACCAACAGCAGCTATAGAAGTCATGCTAAACATCACTACATTCATTCATTCATATACACAAAGATGCACAAAGATTCATCACCCATAAGCAATTGCATGGAAGCAATTGCATGGACGCAATTACAGCGACCTATATAAAGAGTTGGAGAACGACCAAATAATGGGAATGCCTTCAGACGAAATACTCACAAAGAAAAGTTTTCAAAAACAATATAAAGTAAGTATAACAGGAAAGCGTGGACAAGAGGACCTCCTACTCATGCTAAATTCACCTGGTATACAAACTGCTCCAAATCCCATGAAGGTTCAGGAGTAGGTATATCTAGTACCAAGCCAAATACAAGAATCTCACTGAGCTTAGGGAAACATGCGACAGTATTCCAGGCAGAAATAACAGCAATACATCACTGCGTAAAAGAGGTATTAGAATAGAAAGGTAAATGGAAAAACCATTTTCATATACTCAGACAGTCAAGCGACGTTAAAAGCACTCAGTTCCATGCAGATACACTCAAAGCTTGTGTGGAATTGTTTGGAAGCCCTAACAGAGCTGGGTAGCCTGAGAAGAAGCCTCAAATGCTCTTATTGGTCCAGAACCCTGTTGTAGTGTAACAAAAACAACTATCAGAACATGCACAAAGCAGTGGATGTTTAAAAAATCTCAGGAGTGGTGGAAAAACTCACCAGGACATAGAAAGGCCTTAATAGGAAAAATATTAGGGTACTAGTAGGTGTATTAACAGGGCATTGTAGGCTTAACAAACATATGTATAATATTAGTCTGACAGAAGAGACCTTGTGCCGATTTTTTGAGGAAGAGGAGGATACGGTAGAACACGCATTGTGCTACTGCGAAGGTCTAGTAAGACTGAGATCCTTTACACTTGAAAAAGAAAAACCAAGGGCAACCGGAGAACTACTTCCCAGTCTATGGAGGCTACTACAAAAGACCGAATTAGACAAGGTACTCTAAACAACGATTAAAGAATATACACAAAAGATCTAAAAAGGTCGAGGTCAGGGAGGCCACATGGCCCACAGTCCTAATTAAATCTAATCTAAATCTAAGCTACATCGCACGAGAGCATACCTACTTAGGTACTGCAGGTACTTGAATTAGACTTAACTCTAACATTTATAATTAAAATAATTCAATTTAAATATTTTTCAAAAGAAATGAAAATCCATAAAAAATAACTAGGTCATATTCTATCACTAAAACCCGTTTTAGATGTAGACCATATTATTTGAGAAGGTGGTAGGCTATCTTATGCAAATATATCATGTTTCCAAAAGCACCCAATACTTTTTAAATAAACTGTAGATACCTTTTTTTGTACTTCTGTTAATATTCTCTAAGATGCCATTTTCTTCCTCTCCCATATGTCATATTTTCAATTCCCTAATGGAAATCATCATTTTAAGATTCCAGTCACCAAGAATTGTATTATTCTATTTATTCTAGTTCTTCCCGTGTATTTTGTAGTCGGAATAAAATTCATAATCCATAGATCTTACAACATTCTTTACTCTAACACTTTATTCTACTCCTGAGTGATGTCAGCTCTCCGACCTTTACTTCTTTACCATTTAATGGTATTTTCCATATCTCTATTCCACCAGTTTTGATTTTTTTGTAGAATATTTATTGGTATGATCCCTAACCTGTTTCCTCGTCAGTTTCTGTTTCTCCGTCCATTTATTTGCCTTTTGACATATTATTTTCGTTATTTTCTGCCTTACTTTTTTTAACCTTCTTTATTTATTCGAAGCATGGTTTCATCAAAATTAAATAACCAAATTCATTAGTATCTTTGTAGTAAGCATTCTTTTATTAATTCTCCAAAAAAATATTATTTTTATGTAATGTTTATTATTCTATAATATTTTTTCTTTTCATATTTCTTTCACTGTAACTTCCAATTTTTATGATAGCATTGTTACATAGAAAGTATGTTATTGTTAATTTTATTCATCGGAAAATAGTGTTAATTAATGTTTTGTTATAGCTATGAAATATAGAAGTAGATGAAAAAGGAAAAATTAATTAAAACAACATTGGTCTATAAAAAATTTCTTATTTCCATACAATAATCTAACGTGACCCAGCTGTACACAGAAATTTAAAAACAGATTATTTCTAGTAATAGTAATAATGGTAATAGTAATAATTTGTTAAAGTCTCTTTTAATATCAAAACACTGAATATACTCTATACTCTCAAAGAGTATTAAGCAAATGCTAGCACCAGTCATCTTCATCGGATTCCGAATGTCCAGATCCGGTTGGCTTAGGTTTGTACCTGGAAAAATAAATAAAAAACATTTTACATATTATTGCATACATATTAAGGAACGTATTTTAATATTGAAAGGGTAGTGATCCTATCTAAGCTTGTATTTTTTTTTAATAATTAATAATAACTTTTGTAAAAGTGATTTCAGGTGGGATTCTCGGTTGGGGTAGTTCGGATCGACATATTGAGACAAAATTTGTACATAGATGTCTTTTCCCATATTAATTATGCAAATCCCATAAATAATAATAATATTCCTCTCCTTAGTTGTTATGGAGGGAATATCATTCTCAAAAATTGAAGTTTTTTTCAATAAAACATTGGAATCTACGATTTTTCTACATACAAATCAAACATTTTTGGTATATGTAAAAAACACCTGATTTACAATGTTCTTATGTAAAAAATCTTACTCCTACCATCCGCTAAAGGAGAATGCAAGGGAAGCTATCCCCAAAAAAATAATTAATAAGTTTTTAAATAATATAGTTGGAATCTACAATTTTAATAGTTTTCCTTTTTATTTTTCATTATGGACTAAAACTAGTTATAGAGAAGAAACATAACTCATTTTTGGTTAGAATACACTTGATTTACAATATATTTTAACAAAAGTTTTACTCCCATTGGCCCCTACAGGAAGATGAAGGATTTGAAATTTTGGGTTTGTATACAGAAAAAATCGTAGATTCCAACTGTTTCACTTAAAGTTCTAATTAAATTTTTGGGATGTTCCACCACTTCCCTCTGCCTTTGGGGGTAAGATTGTTATACAAGAAAGTTGCAAATGAGGTGTATTGTGTAAATACGCCTCTGTAACTATTTTTTAATGCTAGCTCCCAAATCCCATGATGAAAAAATGTTATCAAAAACATTTAGATTCCAACCTCCCTCTAGGGGATGATTGGGTAACATTGTTATACAAGAACGTTGCAAAAAAGGTGCATTGTAAATATTTTAAAAATTGAATTTTTTGTATGTAGTTCTCATATTTTTGAAGAAATACATCCTTATACCAAGTTTGATCTTAATCAGATTGATTCTCCACTTGACTATTCACTCTTATAATCTAATTAAAAGTGCTATTTCTTATATGAGACTGGGCAAAAATATTAAAAATGATTGTAATGATCGATGCCAATGACAAGATAATATTAAAGGTTTGATGAAGACACATATATCCTTGCCTCTCATTAAAATTCCACATTCAAGTTAATAAATAATTAACCAGGAAACTAATTCCCAAAAATATTTTGGACTGACAAAAGAAAACAATTTTAATCCATCCTGTGCCCTACTTACACATTCTAAAGTTTTGTTTCAATGAAATTATATAGGGTAGAAGACAGCCGATTGCAACAAAGTTTACTAAAATTCATGGGCAGGCTTTATAATGTGAGCTGTCTGAATGGCATGAACTTACGTACAGACTAATAAAGTTATGGAATTATTAGCTATTAAGAGATTTAAAAAGTGGTTTTGCCACCGAATGAGAGTCAAATAATGAAAATCTTAAAAGTCTCTAAAAAAATAATACATTTTCTGGGGATTTTTCCTTTAAAATTTGGAAGACATAGTTTTTGACCTAAAAAGACCTTGAAAATAACAAATAATAACAATTGGAAATATCAACACATCGTTAGATTAAGATAGCTAATATTTGCAGATTTCTACTTCTTAGGGTATGCCGATGACCTGGCGATCGTTGTCAGAGGTAAGTTCGCAAATGCAATATTAGAGTGCACATAAATTGCTCTAAAAATCATTGACCAGTGGTGCTGGGAGGAGTAGAATCAACACTTGCAAAAGTCACCCAAAAAATTATAACATCCTTTACCTTATGTCGAAGGTTGGCAAAGAAAATTGGGGACTACAACCAAAAATAGAGTTATAAGCCCTATCATCATCATCATCTGAATTAGGGCGTGGTTCAAAGCCCACTTGTACTGAAGCTCTAGGCTTATTGTACCCCTCACAGTTTCTATCCCATCAGATTAATTTTCTTGATGAATTCAAGAATATGTCTGATGGGCGCTTTCGCGATTTCTTAAGGTTCCGGATATTGTACCCCAAAGTACCATTCCCGTTCCCATTTAAGGTTCCGGCAGTGGCATAGTATGTGAATGGGAGTTTTGTCCTCCTCTTCACATATTCTGCATAGGGAGTCATCAGATATCCCTAAGAGATTTAGGTATCTTCTAAGGCCACAGTGTCCCGTAAGGAGTCCTATTACGGCCTTGAGTTCGCTTCTGCTAAGGTTTAGCAGTTGATGTTGTCTGCTTGTGGATGGCCCCTCTATGAATCTTTTGGACTGTCTAAGTCCAGGAAGTTCTATCCAGAGCCTATGGTGTTCTCTTTTTATTTGTTCCTTTAACACCCATTTAACATGTATGAGATACCACATGTGGGTTCTGGTCCAATAAGAGTTTTTTCCGCTTCCTTCCTTGCTAGGAGGTCTGCTTTCTCGTTTCCAAACACTCGCTCATATCCTGGCACCCATTCAAGGGTAACCTTGTTATGTTCTGCCAGAGCCTGGAGGGATTGTTGGCAATCAAATATTGATTTAGATTGTACTTCTACCCTTTTTAGTGCTTTAAGGGCTGCCTGACTGCCTGTCATGATAACGATTCTCTTATCTCTAAGAGAGTCATTTAGCATGACTTTGGTGCAGGTATTTATTGCTGCTACTTCAGCCTGGAAGACTGTTGTCAGTGACCCCAGGTTCAAACTAATTGTCCTCCCTGAGTTCACATGGTAGATCCCAGCTCCTGTGCTGTTTTTCGAACCGTCTGTATACCAGATTGATTCGTTTTGTTTTTCCCTTTTTTCCCGGCTTTTGGCCCTTTCTGGTATTTGAATATCAAAAGGTTTCTTGAAGTCGTGAATAATGGGCGTTCTATCCGATGGCATTCTTAGCACCGGATTTTGTTTTAATTTCTCTAATATCATTGTGTGGTGTCCTTTTCTCGAAAGTTCCCATCCAAATCCATTAGTAAACAGCCTGTATGCCGCCGCCATAGCCTCCTTCTCCACCACAAGGTGTAGTGGAGGAAGAGCTAGCAGTAGCTCCATTGCTGCTGTGGGCGTAGTTCTAAATGCCCCTGTTATTATTAGGCAGGCTAGTCTTTGTACCTTGTCTAATTTTCTGTTAGCTGTTATGCTTTTAGTCTTGTGCCACCATATGACTGATGAGTAAGTTATGACCGGTACTACAACCATAGTGTAAAGCCAGTGCATCATACTTGGTTTAAGCCCCCAAGCGTTCCCTACCATCCGTCTACAGGCCCATAGTATTTTTACAGCTTTTTCTGTTGTTTTTTCTATATGGCTACAGAAGCTAAGCTTGTCATCGAGAGTGATTCCAAGACATTTAACCTCCTTTGCCATTTTTAGATGTTGTCCCCACATATAAAGCTCCTTCATTCCTTGAAGGTTCCTTTTTCTTGTGAATGCAACAACAGAGGTTTTTATCGGGTTTGTGGACAGTCCCTCTTTTAGGCACCATCTTTCGACGATATTTAGTGCCCGCTGCATCCTTTCGGATACAACAGTCCCAAATTTACCGTTTACTACGCCCTATAATAAACTACTGTTATGGTGGCTAAAGGCTCAGCCAAGATAGAGCCATTCGACATGTCAACGGTATTTAAAGTCAAGCATGCTTACGTGCCACCCCAAGAGCAATGAGAACGACTCCAACAGTAGTCCTAAAAGTCATGCTAATCCTTACACTACTACACATATACATTCATGGCGAAGCAATGGTCCGTTACATACAGACTGCATTAAGGTTATTTAATCACAAGCAATAATCATGGACGTGATAGCAGTGAGCTATAAAAAAAAGTTAGAGGACGACCAAACGATAGCAATATTTTCAGATGAAATTCTCCCAAAATGTAGCTTTCAAAAGCAATATAAAGCAAGTATACCAGACAGGGAAGCGTGGGGGGAAGAGCTCCTATTCACACATAAATCACCTGGTATATAGAGGATTCCAAAAAGTATATATAGTACCAAACCAAAGACAAAAGTCTCACTAAGCTTAGGTAAATATGCGACAGAATGCCAAGCAGAAATAGCAGCAATACATCACTGCGAAAAAGACGTAATAGGACATAAGATAAATGAAAAAACCATTGCCATATACTTAAATAGTAAGGCACTCAGTTACATGCAGGTACACCCAAAGCTTGTTTGGAACCTATGAAAATTCTAACAAAGCTAGATCGTCAAAACAGACTAACTTAAGCTTGGATACTAGGCCATAGAGGACAATTAGTACAATAAAGAGAGAGACTTACTAGCCTCAAAGACTCTTATTGACGCAGTACTCTTCTGTGCTGTCAAAATGCCAGCTTTCAGAACATGCACAAAGCAATAGATGTTAATTTTTTTTAGAAACGATGGAAAAAATCACCAGAATAGAGACAGGCCAAAGAGTTCTTAAAAGGACCATCGCCAAAACTCACCGAGCATTTACTAAGCCATAATAAGAAAAATACTAGAGTACTAGTGGGCTTATTAACAGGGCATTGTAAGCGTAACAAACATATGTTTAACATCCACCTAACAAAAGAAACCTTGTGCCGGTTATGTTATGAAGTTGAGGAAACTGCAACTCACGAATTGTGCTACTAAAATTCCTTATTCTTGGAGAAGAAAAACCAAGGGCAATTTGCTAAGCCAGACACTTAATTCCTAGTCTGCGGAGTCTACTACAATAGACCAAACTGGATAAAGTACTCTAACCAACGATTAAGGGATAACCACAATAGATGTGAAAATATCAAATTTGTGGTCTGATCTAAGATGGAATTTTCGTCAGAGCATTGCACTAGGATAAACTAAAATTCTGTTATTCATTTTTCGAAATTTTTTTTGTTGGTGTCTTTGGCTTCGATAACCTCGTGTTCTATGTAGAGTACTAATAGTCTAATACCCCATAGTGAAAAGTGTCCTAATACTCCTGCACGCTCACAGACAGGCCTTATTACTATTTTACA